ATGAAACTCAATTTTACGATACTGTACTGTATAAGTCACTGTAGCAATGAATCAGCGACATTTCTACTCGATTTCTTATTATTAATAGATGATTGTTGAATTTTTAGCGTATACGTGTATAAGGAAAGAAGTAAAGAAGGTTGTTACGAGTGAAGAGAAAAGTAAACGGTTAAAGAAATATATTTAGAGAGAGATCACATCTCCTAAAAGTGAAGTTTGCAAATATCAATGAATTACGCGCCATTTTACGGCGCATAGGCCAAGTTACTGGAATGATTAGATTGAACTTGCAAGCTTGAGCCGATAAAGTGCGAGAAGTGATAATCCGCGACCTCGACGAAAAAGAGATTCGATTTTACGTGTCGATTATTAAAAAGAAATTGTTACTTCGCGCAACAAAGCGTGTTTCGCGAAAAGCGGACAAAGGACGATCGCAACGGCGATGATTTTATCTACGTTAATCTAGAAGACATTGCTGGAACAATGATTTGTACGCCTTCTATGAAGGACCCTAGAGTACATTATGTTACCTAATACTCGTAAGCCACACATTATCTAATAAATATTATTTACAAAATCAGCCCAACTATTTACGCGACATTCATTATAGACATCCCCAAATAAATATTGAGTATAAAGCAAACGATTGCTTACGACATAGATTAACGGTGCTAAATATTCGTTCAAAAGATAAATCCCCGTTTTAATTGGAAAAGTAATTATAGAAATTATTTTATTCTGTTTCCAATCCCAAGTAAAAATATATAATTTTAATAACTCAAAAAGAATGAAGGACCCGACACAAAACCTATGGAAAATGGTTTTCGGTCAAATTGGCTCAAAATTTCACTATGTTATAGTTTTCGCCATGCTAATAAAAAGTTATCATTGCACCAAGTCCCAAAAGTCAATATTTTCCAAAATAGAAAGAGTCAAAGTAGTGAAACATGGTCATCCGCAATATTAAGACGTATGTTATAATCTCACTTTTGGTACGTCTCAAATAAAACTATATCCTTCATATGAGCAAGATACGCAGAGATGATGATAAAGAATTCCAAATTGAGATGTTACAAGAAGACCGACTACTTTGGCCAGGTTTGATGAGAGTTAGAGTATATTCTAGATTTCGTAACGCGACAAAACATCATCTTTAGATAGCATATCAATCAACTCTCGAAGAAAAAGAAAATGACCAAGTGGAAGAGAAGGATAATCCGATAGAAGGTCAATATTGTACTTGCAAATCTGGCGTTCGAACTGTCGGCACCTGTGCACATATTGCTAGTGTCATATGGTAAATAGGATATGCAAGACGTCAGAAAAATATTCAATATCCTTTTGCAAGACTGAATCAGAGTGTGTAAGATGCTGGAAATCGTGCTTAAGAATAGTATAACCCAGAACTGTCCACGAACTGCTCAGTGCTCATTTCGGCCGATTTTCGCGAGGCACCGCCTATCTACTCCAGTCATTAAACAACCGTAACCAAGCGCGCGACGCTCAGCTTCAGGTACGACGTATCCGACGCCGTTGCGTGCCCCTTGACTGCCAAATGTCAGTTTCTAAAACGTCATTTGTTTAACATCTTTTTAAATAATTATTTCAATGAGAAAATTTTAAGTTTCGAATATTAATTACATTGACGAGAATATTTTTAGTAATAGATTTCCACGTCACCCAGGAGGTACTATAATTGACGCGTTTTTTTTAAGTGGTTTCCCCAGTAGGCCTACTCCACTAAAAAGAAGAAAGAAAAATAGCTACAGACTAGAAAACGAAATAATAATAATAATAATAAGTAATAGGAAATGCCGGATAGTTGCCGGATATCCGGCACATCCCTAATAAGAAAGTAATAAATCAAAAAAGCTATAAGAATTAATTTGTGCGACTACGCCGTTCATATGAATTAATGATAGATGGAATATCTATTTCAATATTCGAAGAACTTATTCGCATCAACGAAGATAATGATGCATCCTTTAAAAAAGAGCGTCTGTCTGTTTTAATATATTTCATTTTTGAAAACGAACATTCGCACAAATAAGTGGATCCAAACATGGAAAATAATCGAAGACCGAAATTTCGAAGCCTTGGATAAGTATCTACGTCTAAAATTTTAAAAATTAAGGTCTATTCCTTTTTCCGAACACGTTTTAAGGGAAAGATCACAATGTAAATCGCAAAGTTCCTGTTGCAATTCTACATTTTGCTCTTCGATTTTTATAGTAAGAGGATTCTCGAGAAGAATTAAATCATTTCTAAGTATCTCAAAATCACTAAACCGCGTGTTAAACTGACTAAGAAGTGAATCAATTAAGTAAAGATGCTTCTGAAAGTTACAATTTGTGCCATGCTCTTCGAAAAGAATTTGACAAGATGGGAAGAAGTGTAAAATACCTAGTAATCCAACTGGTAATCCAAATGATAATCCTGTCGAACAGCAACACACTTACTACTTTCCACCGAAGCTCAAGCGCGATCACCATCCTCAGAGAACTGAAAAAAAAAGTAATTAGAACAAACTCGCAATTATATCTACCTGGCAGTGGACCTCCAGTGACACGTCACAAAGTTAATCCATATGGTGAACCAGCAGGTTATCCAGCAGGTAATCCAATGAGCACGAACACAATTACCACATATCACTGCACTCGCGAGACTAACACTTACTCCGAAATTGACGCGTATCATAAACCGAACGCGTTAAATTTACGCATTTACGAGACGGCGAAACACTTGGCGACACACTACCGACACTTGTTCGCTCGTGCCTGATGAGGGTATATCCAAATGGTAATCCAACAGGTAATCCAATAGACAGGTAATCCAATGAGCTGGAACACATATCACTGCACTCGCGAGACTAACACTTACTCCGACATTGACGCGTATCATAAACCGAACGCGTTAACGCATTTACGAGACGGCGAAACACTTGGCGACACACTACCGACACTTGTTCGCTCGTGCCTGATGAGGGTATATCCATATGGTAATCCAACTGGTAATCCAACAGGTAATCCAATGGGCAGGTAATCCAATGAGCAGGAACACAATTAACACATATCACTGCACTCGCGAGACTAACACTTACTCCGACATTGAAGCGTATCATAAACCGACCGCGTAAAATTTACGCACTTACGAGACAGCGAAACACTTGGCGACACGCTATAGCCACTTCTTCGCTCGGCCTGATGAGGGTAATCCAATAGTAATCCAAAAGGTATTCCTGTACGGCCGCGACACACATAATAATTTCCTCCGTAGCTCAAGCGCGATCACCATCCTCAGAGAACTGAAAAAAGAAAGTAATTAGAAAAAAACTCGCAATTATATCTACCTGGCAGTGGACCTCACGTGACACGTTACAAGGTAAATCCAAATGGTAAACCAATGCAAGGGTAATCCAGTAGGCACTAGCACAATTAACACATGTTACGGCACTACCTACTTTTATGATTTATGTCTTATCGTAAACTATTACGGGGTTACCTCCCCCGAAAACACGTCGAGATTTTAACTATTCGCTGCTTGAGTGTAATTTGTTTATTACTTTCAAAAGAAAATGCGGAGATGTGGCAAGTACCTCGAGATACATTACGTATGCAACATTAAATTTTAATAATAGATTTCTATGTATAATAGATAATTACACGTTGAAATGCTCTAATTTTTTAATTTTAGTATCATAATCATCATCATCACGAAACGTCGCATGTACGAAATAGATTGATCACGAGTCAAGCAGAATTTCGATGTATATAAATAAGTGCAGTTTGAGATTTTGTACATTGTGTTAAGTGGATGTACAGTGGATGAGATCCGAAAATGGCTTGACGACTTTATCGTATCCAAAGACGCAACATTTTTCCGAGATGGAATTCATCAGTTGCTTGAAAGATGGCTTAAAGTTATAGAAAGCAACGGCGAATACTTTGATTGAACAATTTCATTTACTTTCTTTTAAAATAAACTCTGAATGTAGCTGAAAAAATTGGATTATTCATTTGTACACCTAATAGTTTCACGAAAGAAAAGACTCGCGATCACGTTTCGATAGTGTTCCAATGTACAATTACATGTAAAGTGCGCGTCGTATGCAATTATCGTCTGGAGTGCCGTGTAAAGTGCCGTGCGATTATTTTATTCTAATGACTCGCACGTGCGATAATTAGTCGCGTTTTTGCGAATGTTGCGAATTCAATGAAATGAACCTGAAAGGTGGAGAGAAACATGGGGTGAGTAGAAATTGGTCAAAACATTGAAAATCTTAGTCTTAAAGTAACTAATTATTAAGTATTAATTATGAAATATCGTTAAGATCTCTGATCTCCTTGGCTATAAATTACACAAAAACTTGAAGAAAAATATCTGATATCGGAAAAAATAATATCTCAATTAAATTCCGATATTATACATCCATTATTACGCTTCTCCTTAGCACGTGTAAAGAAATAAAAATAGCACGATATGCTGTGACGCGTATAAAAAGATAAAAATAAGATGACGACTCAAAAAAGAAAATGAGTAAACGTGGGCGGGTAAACGTAGACAAAGGAGAAACTTGCTAAAGAATAGGCAGCCCACCTCGCGCATTAGAATTTAGATAATCAGCATTCCCGTTATGCTTCTCGTACAATTTGTCGCATAAATACCCAGCGACTACGAAGCTGTCATTCGCACGCTACCTGGCCGCGACAGGTACATTCGATACGCCGCGGCCGCCGCGCGCCGCGGAATCGGCGGGTAAGCGCGTAACGCGCGCATAACCGACCGTCGAGAGGGAAGGAGAAAGAAACCCCCGCCGAGAGTGTCCTTATCCTCCCTCGGAGAGAGGAGAGAAGCCCGCGACAACGTAACACACATCGATCTGCCGTGGCGGCGAGTGCGCATTAGCTCGGCGCGAGATGCTGCGCCGCGCGCCGCTCCGGTAGCAGATTTTCAGCGTGCCACCCCGTATAAAACCGTGACCGGGGTCACGGCACGATACCAACAGGTGATGCCGAAGAAGGAGGAGGACACTCCCTCGAGCGGCATCTCGTCGAGCGTTTCCCACGGGTCTCGCCGCCGCCGCCGCCGCCGCCGCCGCCGACGACGACGACGACGACTACGACGGTGATTTAACATCGCTCTTCCGAGCCTACCGCTCGCCCTGGAAGTCCACGCCGCCGCCGACTACCGCCAGGATCTATTCAGCCAGGACTAGCCGCCGGGACGCACAGCACGGGGGAGGCTCGCATCCATTTAGCTCGGGCGGAATGCGGGGGGAGAGAGTCGGGCGAGAAACGTCGGCGAGATACGCGGCGAAAGTTTCGATCGGTCGATGATTTAGTGGGCAGCAGGCCGCTCGTAGCCAGTGCTTCCCCGACCGCGATTCTTCCCCCGACGCAGCTTCCCGCACGCCCCGTTCCACCCGCGAGAGCAGCGGACGTGTGCTCGGGATGTAGTTACGCGATTGACACCAGCGCGGGATCGACGTGCGGACGTGGCGATGATCGAGTGTACCCTTCCACGCGCTGGATTCTGACAAGGTGAGTGATTTTCTAATCTTTCACGAATAGCGGATCTTTAAATCCTCGATAGCAACGACACAGCGAGTAAATCTGCGCGATTTCCAACTCCGCGAGTGACTCTTCAATATTGTAAGAAAGTTATTGGAGCTTGAAAATTTCCGATTTGATTCGCGTACGCTGTTTAAAGGCGTTTATCCAACGGGAAAAATATCGACTGTGTACACTGAAAATAGACCTTCCGAAAACAGCGAAAGTATTTATCAAAATAGTATTCGTACGTGGGGACAGAAAATGCGAGAGCAACAGCATTGTACGATTGGCAAAGGCAATGTGCGAAAATCGAACGGTGCGCGTCTAAGATGAGCGCAATAATAAAATTGCAGAATTCTTTCCCGGAGATGACGGCATGCCAGCGGTAGAAACGCGTTAAAAGCGTTTTATGGGAATACATAAAGGATTCCAAAGAGCATTGTAACCAGACAGGATATTTCACTGTTCAACGGGCCGCGCATAACGGACATCTTCACTTTATATATGAAATCATTGATTTCCTCTTGTCGCTCCGCATTCAGAAAGAGAGAGAAGGGGAGGGGGAGAGTCCGATTGTACGATACTCTGACTTATTAATAACCGAATCCCGATTTCAACACAATTTTTCTCCCCAGTTCGCTGGCCTCGATACGGCTATCGAATATACGACCATCTGAGATGCTGCGAAGATGAATCTCGGTCAGTTTTTCCAACTGCGTCGCCGCTATTTTTGAGCAAACGCAAGCAAAGATATTATTACTGAGTATAATAGCGTCGGTACGAGCTGCTGTAGAATGCAATAAATTAAACATTCGCGATATCGATGCATCGCAGAGACGGCACATTGGAAAATTGTAGAAGATGATTTGTGAAGCGTGGCATCGCGCGGCCAGCGTTAAAGAGTCTGCCAGATCGTCTGAGAAGAATCGCAGGGGAGTGTCTTTAAAAAACTCAACGGTTTGATTATATCGCGTGAAATAACGAGCGCGAAGCAACGAGACGCGAGTCCGAATCGCCCCTGGGTACCATCGTGTTTTCTTAGTTCGCCCGCGCAACACGTGTCGGAATAAAAATAAAGCCGCGTCGGTACGTCTCAGTAAGGTGCCTAAAATTTCCGTGTTTATCGCGCCGCAACGTTGATTAGCGGTTTTTATATCGCGCGGAGTAACTTAATAGCGCCGCGCGAAAATGTGGAGCGGAAACGTTCGAGGGAAACCAAGAGGGAAACGTGTGGGTGACACGGCAATTTCGATGGAGCTTTGACTCGGGCGACTGACTCGGAAGGGAAAAGTCAAAGGTAGACAGTCATCCAGCTGGGTTCCCGGGCGACGAAACACGAGAGAGAAACAGAAAAAACGATGGCGAGGGAGAGGGAGACAGAGAGACGAGAGTGACAACGAGAAAAAAGAGCAGAAGCAGAAAGATAAATGAGGGGCCGTGGTAATTTAAATAATTCTTTAAACAGCTATCTCTCTCTTTCTGAGAGGAGGAGGAGGAGAGGGAGTAAAGCTAGTGAAAATTTCACGAGGTTTGGAGATAGATGGGAGAAATGTTTTAAAAGCACTCGTCTACAAAAGCGAGACGCGCGGGAGTAACATAAATATATATCTTCGCGCGCTATTCTAGAACGTAGTGTATAAAGGTACATACACAGTACGTGAAAATGGCGAGATAAATGACCAAGTCGTACGTGCGCGAGGACTCCGGCATCGAGAGGATTGAGTTACGGGGAGTAATTAAAAATGCAAATCCAACGGCGGGGCAATAGAGAGCCATTAAATCTCTCGCCGTACTTGCGCGCTCGTGCACTTTTATATTCCCCGAAGCGACGCGCGCAAAAGCAGCTAAATACTACAAAAGGTATACAGGTAATTACACAGCATAGGCTGCAATCGGCACGCGCACCTTTGCTAAATATGGCCCTCTCTTGTCTCGCTTTATTTTTACCTCTTGTTAATACACCACGGCGTAAGTTCCGCTGACATTGATTAAGAAGCACCCGCTTTTTTAGGCCAGCTACCAAGGGATTGTGCTCTGACATAAATTTCATCTGAAACTCCATTAGAGCGAGAGAAACGGCCGGCGTTGATTACATCGATATCCGTGACGGCGTGGGCAGCGTTGGAAGCTTTTTATCCCGTTCTTTTCGTGAACACTCGGCGTGAATACCGGGTGGTTTGCTTCGACATACCTCAAAGGGTTAAATATAGATCGCGACCTCTCTATATATACTATTTGCGCGATATTAAGGAATAAGAATATAAGACTCCGCGTGTCCGATGTATTTATACGAGACCACGAATTGCTGTAAAAGGCTGCAACGAAGGATATAGTGCCGTGCAACTCGCGTTAATACGCAAAAAGCTAAACTGCGAAGGAGCAATACCATAACGCGGCAAAAAGGAGGCACGGTGTTTCCGAGCATCGCTTGTTACCCTGCCTTCGATTTCACGCGTTTGGAGATAGATGAGAGAAATGTTTTAAAAGCACTCGTCTACAAAAGCGAGACGCGCGGGAGCAACATAAATATATATATATCTTCGCGCGCTATTCTAGAACCTAGTGTATAAAGGTACATACACAGTACGGAAAAATGTGGGAAAAATCATTCACGGGATCTCCGCGAGCTCTCGACGGAGATCCTCGTACGGTTCGGAAAACGATCGGGAGGCCTCCTCCGGGAACTACGGTGTTTTCCCGCGATGCATTATTCAAACGAACCATTCGACGGATCGGAAGTCGGACTTTGATTGGACAAGGAGAAGCACGCGGGGCGCACGACGAAAGGTCGCGGTTATGCAAATGGAACGCCACAGCCGAGTCGGTCGTTATGGTAACCAATCCGCTGCAGAGAGGCATCGGAATTCATCGTTTATCCTGGTAGCGTGGAACACTCTCGTTCGTAAGAAGCAAGGACACAGCTGTCAGACTTAAATAATCCTTGGGGTCAATTCTGTATCTTATAATAACGTGAAAACGCTAAAAGTGAGCGGCTTTGTCTCTTTCTAAGAGGACGGTTAGAAAGAGACAAAGCTGCTCACTTTTAGCATTATCACTATAGTGTAAGATACAGACCCCCAGATGGATATGGGCGAGGCGAGGCTGCGTCGAGAATGCTCTGACAATCGCGGGCAATTCGATCGTTCCCGCGTCTTCGCGGGAATAAGTCGCGGGCCATGATAGAATCGATACTTTCCTCGGCGCAATCGCTCCTAAATGATTTACGCGCCTTGGACGGGAGTCGAATAGAAGAAACGACGAGTTGAGTTTTACAAGGGAAAGGGACGCTCGCGAGAGATGGGCTGTTCTGGGAAGAGATTTAATGAGCCCCCAAGTTTATCGTGCCGTCGGTCTTTACCGCCCGTAACACATATGTAATCAAAATTCTGGTTTGAATGAAATGCGAATAGACGCGCGGAGCAGCCTGGCCGGTGTTACGGGAGTAAAAAAAATTGCGAGTCGAAAACGCGCGAGTCGAGAAACAAGCGCTTGGGAAAACATACACGACGCCAGAAGCGCTCTATCAACGGCGTATTCTTGAATAAAATACAAATTCGACTCCGTGCGCCTGGCAGAAGTTACGTAAAAGATCTTGCCGGATGACGAGGAGTTACTTAATAATACTAGACAGCTGCTTTAGTTATGGCATACACGTATCTTAAATTCAACTAAAGCCTGCGCTAGAAACTAGCAAGTTATATTTATCCGTCTACACTTCGGGAGTTTAATTCTTTCGAATCTTTTTATCCCCAGGCGCTTGTAACTCTCGCTTGGTTTTTCCGAGTTTGAACTTTACCTGCGAGACTGGAAGGTCTTGCGCGATAAATTCAGGGTATCCAGGATGCGTTCGCGCAACTCCCGTTCCATAAAAGAATTCCAATTCTAAGTAAATAATCGCCCGACGAATCTCCTTTAAGAGATATAATTTGCGCCTCTCTGTCCAGAATAAAACCAAGTCTGATAAGTTGATTGCATTTGCGAGGAACAAGTGCGCGATATTTTGTAAACGGAAAGATTCGCGATAACTGATTTACCGAGATTATCGCGAGCGAGCGATAGTAACGTCTCGCACGTTATATATAGATCAATCCAATTTAAGGTCTTGAAACGCCATAACGTGAGACGTTCCCTCCGAATTGGGTGCTACACGTCGCGCGGAATCAAGTGTGCGAAGCAATCTGGCGGAAAGCGGTTTCTCGAGAATCCAAGTCGGGTCGAATCGCTCTGAAATAGCAGAGCCGGAGCTTGTAACACGCGACTTAAGTGAACTCGGACACGTGCCGTTGCGGATGGACAAGGAACGAGAGCGATTCCGAGCTGTATCGCGCGATTCGTCATTTCGCGCGGCGAGATTTCGCGCTGCGTCCAACGCGAGTAACGACGCGCGGATCCCCCGTGCGCCGCCGTCGAAAAAGCATCGTCGGATCGCGCGCGTGGTCGTTTCAATTGTTTTCGATTAAATTGTAGTTAATTAAATTGTATTCCGTAAAACCGTTTTTTTTATATATTTTTCATACGTTTGTTCGTTCCATTTTTTTTCCGAAATACAAATTTCGCGCTCGCGCGATTCCTTCCACGAGGAGGCAGATATTCCCGCCGCGAGCGCCGAACTATCGAGCGCACTTTTTTTTTTCGCGAGAAACGGATCACCGGAGAGAATCGTTTGACAAAGTTCTCCTCTGTCAATGTCGCATGTCTCGCCGATGTGAAAGGCAGATTTAAGAATACACGAGGAGAACCACTCGTGCGTCAGCGGGAATCTCAACGAGCGCGTGCGAGAGAGGAGCTTACGGAGCCGCGAAGAGACAGCCCGTCGAGGACGAAAATGGCCAACTTTGGAGACGTCAGAGGGATCGCCCGCCGCGCAACAGTAAAGAGGGATTTGAATCGATAGGACGCGCGCCAAGTTTCGACGTTGAAAGACGAAATGTAGGGAGGCACACGGGAGGCGCACGAACAATGCACCTCTCGCGCCCGCGCTCGCCGTGCACGGAGCGGAGCGGCGTGCACACACCGATGCGACGCAGTCAGATAATTCTCACGTACACATTGTGACGTGCGGCGTACGCGTCGCTAGACGCGGCGGTTACACGAGAGTCACGTCGGTGTGTGTGCGTTGAAAAGCATGCCCGCGGCGTGTCCGTTGTGCGCGAACGTCAAATTAAAACGACGTCACGTCGCGGTGATGCCGCGCGACAAAACGCGACGAGCGATCGTACATAATGTCGCCAGTTCGGAACTGCTAATTAACAAACTTGCACGTTATTCGCATTCTTTCGTCGCGGATCGAACGTTGTTTCGATTCAGAAAAAGAGAACGTAAATAGATATAAATAGAAATAAAGATGAATTAAAAATCCTGCCTCTCTCTGGCACTACAGTCCGTACGCGTGTAATACGGTGTGGTTTCTCGTATAATTCATCGTTATAATATTAAATATCTTTCTTAACGATTCCATTCTTTTCTCTACGTAATACTTAGTTGGAAACATTTGCAGAATCTGGGATCGTATGTTTCTGAGGCCTAAGGATCCGGAAAACGTGAGGGTAAGCAATTTATTAAGTTTGACGTCCAGCATAAAAATAAATTCTCAGTCTAGCTTCGTTAAAAAGTCAAAAATGACTCGTACACGAGCTTATTGCAGAGCCGCTCGTTTATTCAATGCTACTGCTCTATTGTTAGAGGAAGGTTTCCTATTATAAGATAGGCTTCTAACATGAGATAGTAGGTTTTCAACATCCAGTTTCAATCACAAATCTTTTTCGCAACGATTATACGATCTAAGAATGTACTTTCCAGTAAACAGATTTCACTGCAAGGGCAATAAATTCAGTGGATCCAACAAATAATGCTTATTAATTTAGCAGAAACCTCGCTATTTCATAGTAGGGAACTTTCTCTATTAACTGAGATCTAACTGACAATGAAATCTTGATTAAAAGAGAAGTTAAAAGAGAAGTTTATCAGACGTCAAGAATACGTAGGTGTGTGAAATTTTCAGTAAAAGGGTCGACTACGGATTTCTTAAAGGCTTACAGGAATATCGATATCTCGGAGCTATCATGTCAAATATGTAGTTGCATAAAAATAGGTCGACTTACAATACCTTACAATACCTTATATCGATAACATTTTATATTCGTCGCGGGATAAGATTATCGTTCCCCTGTCAATCTTATCAATTTATATCTATTTTAAGAAGCACGATGTAATTACGTTGCATGTTAGTACAATAATAAATTTCAAACAAGCTAAACATTTTACCGCATCACAAATATGATTTAGTTACGATGAGGGATTAATTAAGGCAAAATTTCCCTATTGACGCGAATTATTAGAGTGTATATAAAATCAAGTAATTATTTTTCTCACTTGCCGAACGTCAAAAGTACGTACGCCAGCGAAGATAACTTTTTATGAAAACTGTGCATGTGAACAGAATATTGAAAACTACTTGAATATTTATATAAGAGAATGACGGGGAAAAGTGCTGTACGTGCGTCTGACCGTTTGCCGTATTAAAATGTTCCTGAGATATCAACAATCATAGTCTATATTACAGTGTTGTTTCTACGAAATAATACAAGTCTTAATCATTTTCCCTTTACGTTGCAATATTGAAATAAAATGCTCGTTTTGCACACAGGATGCCACAAGGAAGCATTCAATGGCAGGGGACGCAGAGAAGAGCCTGCGGACCTGGGGCTAATTGGAACGTGCAGGTACATTCTCATCGCTCATAAAAATTTTAAGTATTGATTATTAGCGATTACATACCTACTTCGTATCACGGAATTGATTTTTTTTTCTTTATCAGTCTCGTTAGTGTAATTATTAGGGAGTAGATCAATCGGTGAAAATATTAGCCGTAGGAAGAGAAAGGAAGTTGGAAGAGAGAGAAAGAGAGAGATTGAGAGAGAGAGAAAGTCCCATAATGCGCACATATAGAGAGCATGTACGTAGATATATCCGTATTTTAATCATCTCTAGCACGTTTACAAATTTCGCCTGCAGAAATTGCATCTTCCGATACGGAATCCGCCTCGGCGGAAATATACGCAGACTTCGTACAAACAAAAGCAAACCGTAATCGCGGGAAGCTACAATTATTAGTGCCGCTGAAAAGGATTACTATCGCTCGCTGCTACAGTAACAATATCTGCACACGATTCCGCAAATGTATAGAACTAGTTTGAAACGACACACCCTTGTAGAGAGAATTTCTTCAATCGCGCGATCTGCGATTGAAATTAATTATCCTAGCACCGTACCATCCACTACGTAATAATTTAAGGACCGTCTACATTTGAAGTAAGCAGTAAGAGATTTTACCTTTCAGTGTAAAAAAGCTAAAATACAAAAAGTAAAATACAGGCATAATTTTGGAAAATATTCGTAGCACTGGCCGAGAGTAAACGTCAGAGAAGTAATAAAAATGATAAATTTCCTTACTCCTACTCTTATTTCTCACGCTAGGTTTACTTGGTGTATGGTAGACGGTCCCTTAGATGAACGTCGCGTAAGAGCACGTCGCTCGTGGTTACCAGCACCGAAAAACGTTACTGTGCCGTTACCCCGTTAATGTAACATCGTAAATCGCGCCAATCGATTGCAACGACGCCCGTGTAAACGGCGGACGTATGAGAGCGCGCTCGTCGCTGTGGGCAAACAACCGGGACCCGCCGGTCCAGGTTTATCAACTGTTAACGACGGCAATTAAATCGAACAGGTGGTGAGAGGCAAGGTGACAACGCGGTGCTTGTGGCACGCCTGCAAAGCTCTCGGAATTGGCCTGCTGCTAATGCTTTTAGGAGCTTGCATGGCGACCATAGGTGAGTAGAATTACGTAAATTAAACATCGCTCCGCGCCAACGTGGCGCAATCCCGCCTTGGCCTCTGAACCGCTGACCACTCGGGGACGTCCACCGAGAGCACCTTAGAAAGATCGATCCCTCGCAAAGATCAACTCTTTGTAGTCCAATCTCTGCCGTTTCTGACGCAGCCTCGCGCATTTAAACAAAATGCTTTGCAGAACAATTATTTTATTTCGACGAGAACGCTGTTCGCAACGACAGAAGAATAATTGGATTCCGAATATAAACAATTAAATCTTATAACGTTAGCAAAAAAGTTGATCTTTTTTCACGCACAAGCTTGCAATCTGCTTATGCTTTACGTGCATGAATCGAAAATTAAAATTTCAAATTTGTATTATTTTTCAAAACAGTTCCTCTTCGTACAAACACCAACCGCCGCTTTTGGGTATCTAGTAGGACGTTGAATAATTCACGGTATCCAAATTTAACACCAAATACCGTTCTCTTAAATGTAAAAAGAAACGTCAGATATTCACGTTGTATTGAAGTAGACGAAAACGCGATATAACGGAACGAGGAACAAAGTTTGCTCGCAGAGCAAACTTCCCTCTATCAATATGTAAGGCAATTCTCTTGCACGTAAAACGGCTCACTTAAATGTTTCACGAATTAATTTTCTAAATTAAAATTTCAATTAAAATTCCTTACAATTGTAACCGCGCAATCGCAGCTTTTCAACGTGTCAAGCGCGAAGTGTCGCGTTGCAACATTTAAAAGTCTTTCTGTCTACTTTCTCGTTCCGTTGTGTCCCGTCCATTGTTGCATACATGTGCGGAGAATAAAAACGTCTTTCTTGTTTCATTCAATAGGATATTACGCGGATCAGCTGTCGGTGGCGCAAGAGATCAGAGGTAATATCACGGTAAAGGTGAAGAACGAGTCGCGCGGGTTTCATCTGAATAATCTCAGCTACGCCGGCCCCGTCGTCATGGGTCTGGGAGGTAAACGGCAACGTCACACATTTTGCACAATTTACGTGCGCGATACACTTGTTCGGCCGAGCAAACGACTAGCTACGCGACACTGATCCCCTTGAAACGGTAACTGGCGCGGTAATAGACAGGTGCACTATTGCAAAATGCACGTAAAACGTATCCCGGGATCGCGTATACGTGTACAACCGGGCATCACTTTATACATAATGTACACATTCGTTACATAACATGATATGACGAGATTGTGGAAAAGGTCGCGTGAAAATTGAACTTTTCCCGACTTTCTGTAGATAAAATTGATTTTTTTGAAAGGGAATTAATATCTTCTCTAACCCGAGGCTTGCACTGTAATTCTCGCTTTGGTGTAAAATCAGTACATATTTAATATGTACGAAATATTAATTTTTCATAAATAATCTTATGTGTTTTTCATTATATTTGTACATACGAGGTGCATAAGATGAACCTGCAGTGCCGAAGTAAAAAAATTGCAAATTGCACAGTTATGCAGTTTTGCAACGGGGAGGTACTGATGGGGATCGAAAATAGCTGCAAAATAAAAGCACGAAAATCATGTATGTAGCGGATGTAGAGCGAAAAATTTCAAGAGAAACGCGAAAAATGTGGGATACACTAGCTGCGGCGCCGCGCGAACGAGAAACACTTGGTGGGAAGTATTGCGCGAAAAAAAAATTATTGCCCCCAGAGAGATTTGAACTCTCGACCCCTGGTTTACAAGACCAGTGCTCTAACCCCTGAGCTATGGAGGCTTACGCTCGCATATCAGCGTACAACCTCGGATACAAGCACCACGTCAATTTTATCTTATCTGCACATCTCTAATTACGTTTATATCAAAGAAAAACGTATTTTTAGAATATTCCAACTTGCGTTTTCGCGTGCGATGTCAAGTTTCAACGGTCTCGGGCGAAGGAAGGTGAGATAATTGCACCTTGGTTAAATTGAAGAATTAAATTACACGGAGATTATGTATTGCAGTTAAAAGATAATCGCCATGCAACGAAATAAAATCTCGCTACACATCCGTTCCACTCTGAATGATTGAATAAATTGTTCAATTATATAGAACGCACTGTGCTCGAACTAGCGCTGATATTAATGAACGTTCAATTATTAATGACTGCGATATCCAATAACGACATGTAAATGTAGGCGACGTTAATGGTAGGCGTAAGGTAAAAGTTAACGCTCTGTCGTGCACGAATAACGATATGTTCAGGCTTCATTGTGGTGGCTGCCTGCGTGATGACCTTCGAAGCGCGCGACAGCGCGGCCAAGGTGGTACCAGCTCGCTATCGCTTCAACCAGGCGTCAACGCTGAGGAGCTCGAAGAGCCAGCGCAACAGACGATCGACGTCGAGCCAAACGACCAAGTGGGATCATCAGCTGGGCCTGTTCCGGGTGAACCGCAGCCCGAGTCCCAGCACGCACGAGGTCTCGAGGAAACAGCTGACCGCGGAGTTCATGCAGTTCTCCAAGGATCTGCGGGAGAAAGGCGTGGCGCACGCCATAAAGAAGAGCCCGAGCGCGCCAACGTTGATCGACAAGAAGTCGCCGCGCCGAAGGTCGCCTAAATACGCCGGCTGCTCGCTGCTCAACCCGGAATTGCTGCAGAGACACGCACTCTCGGTCGACAATCCGAGCTACAGCCCGCATCAGGTAGCCGAGAGAGAAAGATGAAGAAGAATAAAGATTTATCGTCGCTGGTGAATAATTGACCAATGAGGAAATCATTAGATGACCCAACTGACAAATTCTAATTAAAGAAATTTATTACCAGGGTGGCTGAGTTAATATTTTTGGCAATAAGTTTCTTTAATTAAAATTTGCCAGTTGGGCTGTCTAATAATTTTCTCATTTGAGCAAGATCAGCATCTTGCAGAAGAGACAAAACCTTTCGCGACTAGCCTAATCAATTTAATTGAGCGAAAGGAGATTGTACATTTTGGACCAATTTCAACGGTCTTTTTGTCTCAATGATTACAATTGAAAGTGACTGACAAGACCTTCTTTCTCGATACTCGACAGGTCAGCAGAGAAAGTCTGGAGCACCAAAAGATGAGCGGTAGTCAAGCCTCAATGGCGATGGATCTCCATATCCCGAACAAAGGTCCCGTTACGCTCAAAGTGAAGGACCGATCCGACACGGCGAGGCGACATCAGCTGCTGCGCCAAACAAAAGTGGAAGACGTCGAGGAAGTCGACGAGGCTGCGCGACCACCGCCGACTATCGTGCACTCGCCTAAATTGCCAGGTGGCTATGAATAAATAATTTAAAATTTATGAGATCACTCAGACATGTAAGATCATCACTGTGATCATCCAATACGTAAGATACTCTGAAAATATTAAAATAAAAGAAAACCGATAATATCACTTAGTTAAAAAACTACAAAATTATACGGAAATTAAATTTATTCTGTCTCTAAAAAAATGCGCTTAATGCATGTTAAACGTTATTCGAGCAACCGGAGTCCGGAAGTTATCACGTTTGTGGACTAAGAAGATTACCTTCCGTTTATGCCGGACAAAGAGGTTGCCCGGATAAGCGTTAAAAAATGTCTACACGTCTAGATATCAATAATCATAAACATCTCGATCAGGTGCCTATTGCAGATATCCAGACGACTTCGTACCGAGAAAAAGAAACTCAATAGATCTGAGACTGTTGGAGGGGCTGACGGTGGTGTCGAAAGAATTCAGTAAGGCCTCGCCGCGAGACTTCCGCAAGGTCTCGTCGCCGAACTTCCGCAAAATGTCCTTCGACAGAATCGGCGGCGATCGTCGCTTCGACAGGACGATGGGACAACGAAAAGCTAGCCTCGAGTTCAGAAGAAGTCCGGATTTCCGAAGGGGAGATTACAGGTAAGAGAGAATTTCAAGAGATCAAATTCCACGAGCATTTCTGTTACAATTATTTTTTGTATTTCCATTATTTGCCGGACGACTCCCTATACGCTCTGCAACGTAAATTTTCAACTTATCGCGCTCGACTAAAGATAACAATAAAATCAAAATTTAGTTTAGATAAAAATAAATCATATATAATTTTTTTTTTAAGATCACGCAGATTACAATTTAATATGAGGCTTTGAACTTTACTAGTTTGTACGTAACATTGTACGTAATGAGATCATTCTAAAGCTTCTTCATTGGTTTCATTCAAGAGCAAGCGACTAATCTTTGCTCTAACCGAATTTACAGGAAGTTATCGGTGGAAAGATTTAGCGTCGATTGCACCCGATACATGCTTGACGAGGCGGAGGTGAAGTCCCGCGCGAGCAGCGGCGAGAACCTGCGGAGGCAACCGCGTCACCCTAAACTACACCATTCCAGGTCGGACGACAGGCGGCGGTCCTTCGACAGGCATCCGAAGGATCCCCAGTCGAGCCGACACTCCCTAAACACTCAGGCCGTCGTGGAGGGTTCCGGGTGCGATTGCGAGCCCAAGTACTTTACGACGGTGTCCCTCGATACCGAGGAGAGCCGCGGCGACAATTCCGACGAGAGCCACGTGGTGGACGTCGAGGAGGCGAATCTTAGCGCCGTGTCATCCGAGGGGCCCACGGAGGGCGACATGCTGCTCGAGGAGCCGGAGCTGGAGAACGTGACGGAGATTGACGTGGAAAGCTCGGGGGACGACCTCGATGATGACAAGTGCGAGTCGCGCGAATCGGCGAGCGAGAGGACCAACGTGATTATCGCCGACGACGCGGACTCGCGGACGACAGTCGAGGAAGCGGCGTGCGACACGGGGCGGATCGAGCGTAGCGAGAAACACGAGACGACTCTGTACATAGAAGACGACGAGGTATGAAGAACGGAAGGGATCTTGGAGGATTGAACAACGTGCTCACGGGCCACAGTCCTGGGGAAATAACAACACTCGCCACTCGTCGAGAGAATCGTGTTCAACATTGCTGGCAATGTTCCTTAGCGAATGCGAGAGGATTCTCGACGACGGCCGTCGATCAATCGTCTTCGGAGTGCGACGTTACGTCGTAAAACATGCTCAACGACTTAAAATTTAACACACGCACTGCACGCGACATAAATAAAAATAAAACACGAGATCACGTACGAATTGCGTTTTGTAACGAGACAATCATTTTTTATCGGCATCTCGCTTTGCCTTTCGTGCGAAGGTAACGAGGGATTGTAACGTTTGCCATACTAACGACAAATAATTGTTACCGACAAATTTTGACGTAGCGCATAGAGACGGCGATAGACCTAAAGTATAAGACTCGTTGAAATTCGAACGTGATTAAAACCATAGCAAGGAGATTTTTGTACTTGTAACTGCAAGTTCACCTGTAAATACGTTTCAGATTAACTCGTTTGGGCGTTTGTCGATGTGTCGAAAATCTCCAACTGACAAAAGTCGACGGGGAACTACGTAGCGCGATTCAAAGTGAATCTTGTAGAAAACGGTGTTATTAGAATTACAAAGGTGTCTCGGACTTGTTCTCGACTCTCAGTACTGCGATAAAAGGGATGCTGCATTTATTTAACGAAACATACATTATTTCTCAACGATAATTTAACTTTGTTGCTTTGCGCAAATAGAAAGAGCGTAAGTAAGGAAACGTTATCCTTTATATACGAGATTTCAAGTGCCCTTTATTTTAAAACATTAATATATATATATGTATATATGGAATTTTACTTTATTGCAAATTTACCGAGGCATTCACGCAGCTAGTATACACAGTGCGCAGTAAAATACGCGGTGAACCCTACATATGTATGACACCGTTCATGAATATTTATGAGGATTGGCGATGTTTTGGCGAACGGTCGGTCTCGCGCGCGCGCGGTACTAGCTACGCTTACACTTGGCGCGAGACTACCGTGTTTCGTGATAAAAGGGAGATCCGTGAGGAATATATTAGCTGTAATTGTATTTATATATATACATACGTTACTCTTTACACAAGATTCATGCATTTATATGGCACAATTTTCTCGTACGAAAGCAGAACGTTATAATCTCTCCGGCGTGAATACATTTAGGAATCGATATGAGAGAGATATTTTTCAAAAGGATACGAAACAATGAATTATGCTAGATAGAGTGTACCAAAGATATTCTTTTACATTATGACTGTTTTATATGCCTGTTCATTTATTCTATATTTTTAGTTTATCGCGTACGTTTACACTTTATAGTTGCGCTGTATGTGCGTTATTAATGTTTTTAAATGCTTTAAAAACGTTGATTCGTATTCTTTTTAAAGATTCGATCGATTTTGATGTAGTTTTCTTAGCAATAAGAAAGATTCAATAACTTTCACGTGAGATCCATAAAGAACTTGAGGACACTTTGATATTATTCATCTGTTATAATAAATTTTAATGTTAAATTGTTTGACATTATCCATTTTCTAGAATTGTTGCAAATAATTAATTCTTTGATTAAAACATACATTTGTTTCTAACGAAGTAAAGCAAGGATTAATTAATTTCGAGAGATATGTTAGATATTTTTGGATTTCAAGAGCAGTTCTTGCGCATTCACTGCATCTCCTTCTATGTATAAAGTCTTTTTTGTTATATTAAGTAAAAATTGTAATGCAAGTAGTTTCCAAAATAATTTTTCACATAATTCTATCTCGTATGTTTTAATTTTCTATTTTTTTATGTCAGAATATGCTGTTTGCAAAAACAAATACGCATTAAAAGTAGCGTATCTTCTCTCTTTCTCTTCCATCTAATATATTATTAAAGATTAAAAGTGATAACAGATTCCTATGGATCTCATCTGGTGTTAGTACCATCGAAAGTATCCTTAAAACTCTTCTTGAAACCAACCGTGAAACATATAATATTATGGGAACTGAATATTTATAGATCTCGGATCTCTTCCGATCAGTTGTTGACGCATTTGTCCGTTCGTGCGCGGCCTATTCCGTACTTCTTCACGTTGAACATTCAAGCGATGACAAATCATAGAAGAATTTGAAATCACAGAAGCGCTAGATGCGCTCGGAGATTGAAAAGAAAAAAACTCAAACTTGTAACGAGACACCGCAGTCTAACGGCGCCGAGTAACAGCTGTTTTTCACCAAGTGACGGCGCAACCGCGCGTGTAATATATTTTTATATCCCGCAGCGAGTTCGTAAGACGTTAATTATATGCATACGTGTATTAATCCTCCTCTGTCGAGAAAAGCAAGATCGTTTTTATTTTGGCAAGCGCCCGGTGGTCGATTGTTGACGAACCATTCCACATTCCACCTTTCCACCTCGCGCTGATTTCACTCGATAGAATATCGTTTCACATCAGACAGTTTCGCGATCTTGACAAACTCATATGTTACTTCGTGCAACGTAATTCATGTAACTTTCACCTCTGATTCGCGTCGCGAATAAATTTGAGACAAATGCATTTTGAGAAACATACTTTGCATTGTGTCGTAGTAGTTGTCTTCGTTTCGAAAAATCAAACAAACCATACTGCCCGATTTTTATTTTATCGAATTTCTCCGAAGATGAATATATTTCTGAGGAATTATTTCGGTACGATCTCACTATTTGTTGCGAATATGACAAATTCACGAAACGAAAGTTCGTAGAATGAGAATGGAGAAGTCGCAGTTTAATTCCGAATTTGTTGGGATTTTATAAAAAGTTTCATAGATAAATGATTACAATGATGAAAAACGTGCGCAACTGAGATATTTGGTTTAGGCAAAATCGTTGGACAATCGACAGCATGATATTCGACGAGAACGCAAGAAAGTCACGAGGCAAAAAACCCCAAAAAATAAAAATATGAAAGACTACTTACTCTCGCGAGCATTTTCGATTGTGAATAATTCACGTCAAAGAATGAAGAGTTATAAAATAACAAAACTATTTGTCGCGACATTTTAATATTTAAAACCGAGTCTCAATGATTAAGTTCCGAATAAAAATTTCGAAGGGACAAGATTCATACCAGTTTATAAATAAAGAATAAATTTAATTCGCGAAAAAAGAGATTTAATCCAAGGGCTTGTAATTTGAAAATGATGCCGCCATGTCTAATTGGCAAAAAACTGTACCGTCAAATTAACCGAGAAATATCTATCGTTGAAATCCATGTCCAAGATTGTTGGGCACGCTGCACATTTAAGATCGCTTAGGCGCGATTAACAGTTAAACGTTATTGATTGAACGATCGATCTTTGTACGGGATCTCACTCAGTTGTATTCAAACGTAGAGAATAGTAATGAGAAGGTAGTGTAATAAAAAAGAAAAAGATGCAATCACATGCAATATATTGTTGATATGTAAATTAACGACTCAATATCGATAGATATCATAATGAATAGCACGTCTCTGAAAAGTCGTCTGGTATTTTTCTACCAGGATGGTGTACATTCAGTGTAATCGAGTGCGACGTGTGAAACCGAGGTTGCGTCGGTGTCTTTCATAATTTTCTAACCCCTCGTTGAAACGGCTTACACGTTTGCGGAAAACCGTGATGCAGTTTACATAGTGGAGTTAAGCTGTATCTACAAGTTATTACTCTGTAGCGGATACGAATGTGTGTATGAGCATGCGTGTGTGGTGGGTGACGAAAAACAAAACACATAACTCACATTTAACGGAGTAAACATAATCGAACTGTGATCGAGGTATATAACTTAATTAATGGGAATAATGTTTAGCGCAAATGCGCTGCTTCGATCCAAGCAATGTCTCAAATCGAAGATGCGAACAGTGATCGAGGAATTCATCAAAATTGTTAAACGCACGAAATGTATTCTTAAAAAAAGTCACAGTAAAAATAACCTGGGTGATACGTCTCGCAACCTGAGATATTCGATAATACGTAATAACTGCATTACGTAAATCTACGTAATTTAAAGCCTGCTCTGCAACGTGTCATTTGCGTCTAGAAACGTTGTTTTCCGAGCAAAATCAAAACGCTAAAAAATTTGTCGATATTGTACAATGTACAATTTATTAACTTGCGCAAATTTTTTAAACGTATTTATTGGCTGCAAAATAAAATGTTTCTAGATGCAAAGAGCATATATTAGGCTTGAAGGAAAAGATGATTATTCACGATATTTTGATAAAGATTTTCGTATACGAGCGGTTTTGTATACGACAGATCGGTTTACTTCAGCTCGATAACTTGAATTATTCGATTCGTGTCAAATCAATATGCACTTGGACGAAAAAATTAGACTGTTCGAACAATATCTCGCGACAATCAAACACTAAAAAAAAGTACTTGGGTTCTTTCGAGAATTTCAATGACCTCGCGAGACAGCGAGGTATCTTTTTACAGGTCAGAGTTTCTCTTGAAATTCTTCAAAGTACCGCCCGTTCCAGTTTTTTCGGTATAAATTAATACTGAGACGCAGATAAGCATCAGTGTAAAATTTTTAAGTCGGTGTAACCCTTGCATGTTAATTGTTGTAACATATCAATAAAAAAGGCATTCCTGAAATTAATCGTAGCTATGTGTTTTTCGAAGGCAAAATTTTATATGCAATTTTCTTTATAACGATAATTTGTTGTGTGCCTCGTTATACACATGTATGTAGATTCATATTGCATTTCGTCGAAAGACTGATTAACTTGTCGAAAAAAAGATAAAAATCAACAGAATTGTTTCTGTTTCCGGATATGTACTCGCATAGCACGTAATATTACAGTAATATCACAGTAATATTACATTTCTAACCCTTTTTGCAGCGAGAGCTATCACTTTTATAATAGTAGCAAAAAGTTAGCTGTTATTATATGGCAACTAATATTTCTTTTCCGTGTAAGCAAACATTCTTTATTTTTATGTTTATTTTTACACTACACCTTATTTTATAATTATAGATTTTCAATAATACGCACGGAAAAAAATAATTTTGCTATTGCAGCAAACTGTTGCTGCTACTTGAATACTGCCATATTTGATAATAACGTGATGACGATACGAAAATTGCTTTATTAAATTATACATTATTAAAATTATTCACCATTACAGCAGAACATTTAATAGAATAGAAATTATTTGTGCGTGCGTGCGTGCGTGCGTACAAAGGAAAAAAGGGAAAATGAGAAAATATCAGAGTGTGAGAGAGAATAAGAGAGAAGAGAGACATTCATAGAACACGTGCCGGGGTATAGGAATCTCGCGTGAGATTTGCGGATTACGAAAATTTCTTAACGGAAAGCAATCGAGTATCACGCCATTCTTCGCCGAGAACTATTTTGTTTAAGCTACTCGAACCGAGGACCGGTCCGGGCAGGTGGGTCTCTCTTTTTTTCTCTCGCCACGCGGCTTAGTTGGCGATCTCACGCGTGGCTCTCGCTATATCCTAGGTTCAAGGGAACCTAAGAAGAGTTTTCCCCAGGTTAAAAAAAGAGGTAGAAAAAATTATATTTAAAAAATATCGAGAGCCCGCGAGCAAAGCCGCGGGGCATGCTAGTTGTCCATAAAAGAGAAAATAACAATCATAAAATAAAAGACAAAATTTACTTAAGCTTACATAAGATATACTGTGCTAGTAAATTATTTTTCTCCGCGTGATATCTGTAAGTAGAACAAGTTTTCAACTTTCCTGCAACATCCCTGAGATTTAAGCAGCTGCCCCTTGTGCCGTTCGGTGAACCAAAGTTGCAGTCGGTAATCCATCTCTCATGGTAAAAGGTAAAATGTCGGTAAAACCTCGACGGTGACGCGGCGCTAGAGTACGCTAGAGGACTCTGGCGTGGCGCGCCGACCGAGCCAGTGATGGTAACCGAGTTCTAAACGATCGCAGGTGCGGCGGCAAATCGAGTCGGAGCGGAGCGGAACGAGACGGAGCCGACTGATGAGGGGCGTGCGGAGGGACCGTGGGCCTCCGGCCCCCAGGTGTTATTCGCCGCTCGCCGCTCGCGCTGAAGCAGTGCACCGCCGGACGCAGTCGAAACGGTCGTTCCGTTGCCGTCGCGCTTCCCCGCGCGAATCCCCGATCGGGACCCCCGTCGAGCGTTTCCCGGAGTTTCGCGAGCAATGCTGTCCGACTAGCCGAATATTCGCGGGGCAGAGAACGACGCGCGCGAAATGTCGTCCGAGCGATTTCATAAGTGAGTGCATCTCTTCTCTTCTTTTCTTTTCTTTCCTTATTTTTTCCCTTAAACCCTCCGCGAAAGAATGCTGCGCGCTCGCGGTTTTCTCTTTATCGCTCGCTCTCTTGCCCTCCGTCTCTCTCCTTCGCTCTTGTTTCTGCACGCGCTCGCCCGTAGGACTTGCGAGTCCCAGAAAGAGGTGAAATGTTGCAGGGCGAGGTAACTCGCCTTGGGATCGCGAAAAAAATATCCCTGAGCGTCGACGACCGCTGATCGCGCGAGGCGGTTCTATAGCACCGGGAGGGAGAACGGCTTGTACCTAGCGCATCGCGAATAATAACACGCGAACACGTCGATGACAATGTTCGATAAGATTTACAAACCGGGCGACATGACTTGGAATACTTTACGATCCTTTTCGGCGCGCTCTACGCTGCTAAAGACGCGGATATTATGATACTCGAGTCTTGAGCGATCGTACCGAGAGAGTTCGATGCTACTTCCGTTCCATTGTTCTTTCCGTAATGTTGTTTCGCGAATTAAATTCTCGAGAGTTTTCATTATAAACAATCGTAAACCGAACGATTCGCACGGGATTAATGATAATTCATCCCTATCTCATCGAGGAAATCGGAGCTGTGTTTACCAGGCGACTGGAACGAAATGAGAGGACGTGATCCGAGTAGAATCTCTTTTACATTCATAATCACTAGCTGTCGGAATAAATGGAGGCACGTTAAGCTCGATAATTAGTGTTTTAGCAACGTTAATTGCTGTCGCACGTTTTTCGGAATAGATTCCGATCGAGAGAAACTGTTGAGTTATTTCCTGGATTTCTGTTGTGTTCTTTAAGGGAAATTGGAATAATTCCGATTGGAATTCATTGCGAAATGTTTCACAATACCCTGCAGGTAAAAGAGAGAGAGAGAGCAATAGCGGTCTAGTAAAACGTACGCACGACTTATTAAATGAAGAGATTAGAAGATTTCGAATAATTGTGCACGAGCGCAAAATAACCGTGATTACGGGCCGTTTCGTGTGCGGTATCGTGTAAGTACATCAGCCGGAGCGCGTGCGGAATTCACGCATGAGAGGAGGCCGGTGCTCTTGTTTCATTCACCACGCGCAGAATTTATCGCACGCATCATCTGTAAAAGTTTCTAGCCGGCTAATCAACTTTCGTTGGCGACGGCGAGCGCTGCGCACGATTGATACATTAATTTTGCCTTGCACGCGCGGCTTGTTTACCAAAACATCGAACGATACATAATCAGATCTCTCTATCGAATTGCGAGATATTTTCTCGACGAAACTCCGAGTCACGGAGAGCCGAGTGCCCTCGAAATGTTGGAGTTTTTAGTGACTTGGAGAGAAGTATCTTCGCTCGCTTTGATTGTAATAGGAAAAGGAGGATTTTGTTATTGCGTCTCTGGAAATTTAATTCTCGAGAAGTTTGTGAGAAATTTTAACTTTTTCATTAGACCAAAAAGTGGAGCATTAATGCGTGGACACAGAATTTTCTCTTAAGATTTATCCTGAAAACCATGTAATTACTAGTAAAATGTATACTAAGTGCACTTATTGTTAGTAGTAAAATATGTGGTAAAATTTAGAAAAAGTCATAAAATTCTTGGAAATATCGCGTTGTCCCACAATTACATGAGTTTTAGAATAAATTTGAAGAGAAACTGTTTTCCGTGTGAAAATAACCAGCAAGAAATCTGTCTCTGAGAAACTACGTTTGATTTCGAATATAATCTGCAATCTAAAGTTAAGAAGTACAAGAGAAAACAGTAACACGTTTATCGAACGTGCATTACACATAATTTGTTTTTAACACAGCTTGTGTACTAAACTTACGCTGTTTAGGATTACTTAAAAGAACCATTAATGTCATAACTCGTTGACATTGACCAAGTACCGAGAACGATACGAGACGCTGAAATCACGGTTCGTGGAATGCAGCATCGGCGAATCGAAAGTACCTGGCTGTCTCGCCTCGCGGATCGCACGCGTTTTCCTCAACATCCCAATTTCCCTAATTAAAAGGAAGAAAAACGCGAGCCTCTCGCGTCGCGCTGTTGCAAGCACTTTAGCGGTTTAATTCGGTCAATTAAAATATCGCGAGAGAGCCGCCACGGATTATCAGATGTTGGGACGCGCGCATATGCCTCCGCTCGTGCTGAGGTTCGCGATTTTTTCTTCGAGAAAGGCGACGATAATTAAAAAAAAACAGCCTGGTTGAGTCCAGATAAGACATCGCGATGCACAATAAAATAACGGAGTACGGTTTCGACCATCCGGATTGTGGTTTTCAAGGATCAATGTATTAATAAATATTAATAAATAATTTGTTAAATAAATAATATGTACCATCTGCCAGTTGGGTCGTTTAATAAAATGTACTTAATTTATTGTTGGTATTAATTTTAATAATCAATTTAAATAAGCCCCTTCTCTTATTCCAGAATTTAAATAAGATATTTGAGGAGTAAATACATACACACTGTATGTATCTATGTATTCCTTGTGTACTTCTTTATACATCATTAAGAATTAATTGATAATGAGATATTTTTCATCAATACACAGCTGTCGCAATTTTATTTGCTCGTGAATGCGATTTCTTATTAAATATCAACGTTTGTGCTACTCTGCCTGAACATAGAATTTTCAGCGCTCAGAACAAAGCATAGACAAGAACAAAGAATAACATAGTACAATTTCTCATTGTCGCAGGGCCGCGCAAGAAGGCATATTGGACGTTCTGAAGGAAGCAACGAGAAAGGACTGTAACGCGCGAGATGAAGGAGGAATGACCCCGACATTATGGGCAGCCTTCGAAGGCCACGTAGACGCTCTGAGACTGCTGGTCGCCAGGGGGTACGTGCATGCCTAATCCTATTTTTCTTTCTCGCAGTGGCCAATGTGTAACCAACGTGTCGCACTTCGCACGCGCCATGCGACAGCGAGCGCACGCGACAAGACGCTTCCTCTCTGAATACCTTCTTACCCGACTACGTACAACGAATGATCATTGTCTCGATTTGTTGCGGGCAGACTTCTCACAATTGTCATTGCACTGTAAACAAAAAATGGAAATTAATAATAAATATATATATACGTGTGCACGGTCGAACGTGGTGCCGCGCCGTTGCGGAAACAAGTTACAGAAACGAAGCACGTTCGATGAAAAATATATAACTACGCGTTTTATCCACTCACACGAAACATTGGTGCCCATCAGGCACGAGGTCGTCGCGCCCCGTGAGCACGCGATAGCCCCGCTGGTACTTCATAATTAATACTTACCTCTGCTGCAGGCCGCCCCGGCAAACTCCGAAATGTTAAGTCCCCCGACGCTTCCGGCCGTTCCCCGCGAGCGGTCCGTCGGGTATTTGCGGATTTTTGAAACGAAACGTTAAAAATTGTAATTGCATTGATCTCTGGCAAGTTGGCGATCGATAAGTTGACAAAGCGAGTCGGGTCGTCGGTTCGCGCTGGCCCGTGCCTGAAGGTACCATCGGGGCCCTTAGTTCTGCCATTGTACGTCGCAATAATAGGCGCACGGAACCGGAAGCACGCATTACAGGTGTCCATCGACTGCACAGTTGCGGAAACCGCGGTCGAGCGAGTGAAAAACAATGGGACGTATGCTTGATAAAAGGCAGGCCGAAGCAGATCCCACGTATCCGAAAACACATGCATTTGTGGTACAACTAGCGAGTGAAATTTAGAGGAAAGTCTTCTATCATGAGATAGGATCCTAATATGGGATAGCGGAGCTTCTGTTAAATTAATAGGCTTCGTTCCACCATGAATTTATTGCCCTTGAAGCAAAATCTGTTTAGTGGAAAATTCATTATTAGATTGTGTAATTGTTGCCAAAAAATGTCTGTGATTGAATTTGGGTCTTGAAAATCTACTATCTCATAATAGAGGACTTTTCTCTATATCCATCTCGTTTCTCTCGAACGCCTCAAGTTATCCGTTTCTTTTCGCATTCAGATAAGGGACGATCGATAAATTTTTACGAATTCACGGAGACTCCATTTTTTCGTAAAACTGATGCTATTAACGTAAAAGAGTTGTTTTATAATACGAACTCTTTAAAATGATTTAACTTTCGATCGAAAGATTTCTTCGAATTTAAAAGAATAATTATAATCTATTATCAGAAATATACCCTGTACATTTTTATCCATTTGTCTTCGAAACGCAAAAGTAATTTAATCGAACGTTATTAAACAAAAGTCTTGCCTTTCTCCCGGAAAGGGAAAAGATAAAAAATATAAAAAGTTTCATTATTTTTCTCTTTATTTATTCTTGCTTATACATTTCTTATTATATATCGAAACATTGCCTCTTGTTGACATCTGTAAAATCTGCCCCACATTGATTTCGGCTTAACATATTCTTTGCACGATCGTTTCATCGTAGAGGCGATCCGGACAAGACCGATTATTTCGGAAATACATGCTTGCACCTGGCGGCGGCGAGGGGCCACGAGTTCTGCGTGAAATTCTTGGTGAAATTCGGCTGCAATATCTGGTCGCTGGACATCGACCGACACTCCGCCCGTGAACTCGCGGCGATAAACGGCTGCGAGAAGATCCTGCAGTTCCTAGACGTTGCTCAGGCCGATCAGGAATTGAATAATCGCAAGAAAAGCCGGTTGCTCCGGGAAAAGGCGGAGAGAGATGCGGAGAAGAGGTACAGCTGTGGAATGTGAATTAGTTTTTGCGCCTCCCACTTGAGAAGAGAGAGTGAGAGGGAGAATGATATCGCTGCCATTTGCAGATCGTTCGATTAAACGTGTTTCTATGAGCTGCACAAATAATTTCCGCAATTTCTTATTATTTTCACTTGCTGCGATTAGCACATTATTACATTGCTGATCTACATTAGCTTTTCACACGGTTTCTTTCAACAATATATTTCTCGTTTTGAATATATATGTTAAGATTTTTATAGATAATTATAAACCTTTCTTGATTAAGACTGAAGGAGTACATGAAAAAGCAAAAAATGGCCGAAATTCGGGCGGAAAAGGAGCAGAAGAAACTCATAAAGGATCGTGCTAAATCAGACTTTGACGCAATGAATGAGTTGAACTCTCAACGGCCCGGGGTACTGACCTTTAGAGGCCGAATGAAACCTTCGCCAACATTCAGCGACATCGTCGGTACGACTACAAAGAGACACGGTAGCACAGTTTGTCGGAAAGCTTTAGCAAAAAAAGCCGTCAACGATTTTAAAGTCGTGGAGGTAAAATGATATTTAAATAAAAAAAGCTATACAATTTTAAAAATAATGTAAAAGTCATTTTCAAACCTTTGATGTTGCATTAAAAACAAAAATAATAAAAAATTAACAGAGAGAGAGAGTTGTAACTTATCTCAAGTGATTTTTTAAATTTAATTTAATAGTCGGTAAATTGCATAATATCGCATATGTTATAGGTCGAAGTGAATGGAAAGAAGTCTGTTCGAAGTCTCACTGGCGTGCGACGGGATTCTGAAGTTATGTACGTAGGCACATACGACACTCAGCCTCAGCACATAGGCATCAGAAGAGGAAGGATCTCTGACGTATGGGGCACTCTTAGTAAATCGCAGAGCACGCCCGATCTCTTAGGTGAAAGGATATACGATGAGGAGGAGGAGGACAGGGAGGTAGAGAACTTGAGTGTTACGAAGGACACCGCTTTTCTTCAGGAACCAGCCAGCATCTTTAACCGACCCGGTTTCGGTTCGGTGGCTTTCAGAAGGGCGGTTAGTGTTAACATTCATATTTTAAATCGTTCCTACAGTCGCGAGTAGTTGTATTTTTTTTCCATAATTAAGCCAATATTAAGGGAAATTATAAGCAACCAAGAAACTACTCTAAAAGTATTCCCCGTATTTTAAGCTACGTTTTATTTTCTTTAGAAACTTCGAGTTAGAAGAAATTCGTACAAGCCACAACGTCTTTTATTTTTACAATCGATTTGATGTCATACTTCTTACACACTGTAATCTTCATCTTACAAATGTAATCGTTCCGCATGACTGTCTTCGTAATAACTACTCGACTCGTAGAAATCGGTACGCTTTAACGTTATACTACGTTTTCTTTCACGACGAGATAAAACGATCGCTTGTGCCATTTGAATTACGATACGAGAGAAACAAAGAAACGAATTGTGAGAATCGTTGCAGAAGCGCTAACGATCTTTTAAGTGATTACAGCGTAAAAATACGCAATAGATATTCATCGGATACCGTAATCACGTAATTATGCAATCAAGTGTGAACAAGCGGGAAAAGCGGCGACGAGCTAATTAATTTTTTCTGTATTCTCGTAGATAAGATAATTCGTAATTTTATTCCATAGATAACATCTACACTGGACAATCTGCCGGTTACTCAGACGGATATACAACTGCAAAACAATAATTTCTCAGTAAATGGTTCTACAAATGGATCCATGAACAGTAACAAGTTTAGCCCGAACGGACATAACGAGGAGATCAGTATAGGAAGTGCCGGCAGTTTGGCACGCCGGCAAAGCTTGTGGGATGAGGATCTTCTTTCGGGTAATTTAACTTAATTGCACCAACGTGCAATTAGAGTACTTATGTCTTTGCAATAATATGCGACAATGCGTTGCGTGCGGAAACGTCCGTTAGGAAACAATGCACGATAATAAATCATGTTTTTTTCACATTGTTACGTTTCTGCAACAAGAACCGAATACTACATTGTTGAATTTATCTGTGAGCAGAAGGTGAGGAAACGGATGAGGAATGGACACCTTTGCAGAGATTTTTGGTTGCTAATAATCTCACGTCCATACATCCAATCTTGGAATCGGAGCAAATCGATCTGGAAGCTCTGATGCTGCTCACTGAAACCGACATAGCGGCTCTCAAACTACCGCTCGGTCCCAGACGGAAGCTGACTAATGCAATCGCAAACCGGAAAAAAGCGCTGAGCACGCCGGAGAGTGTGATTAAGGACAGTAGATTGTGAAAATAGTATATTACATTAGCCATAGAGAATGTATTGCTATTAACGAAATTATCCGTCCATTCGCAAATACGGTTAAGTAGTTATTAATGGTTTGTGTGCAAGAGATAGAAATAGGGAATAGTTGTCCTAACGTAAAACATAAAAATTAGGTTTTTCGGGAAAATCGTGCAAATTAATTAGATAATATAAAAAGTTATGAAAATTCTTAAATCATTCAATATCAAAAGATTCTTAATATCAAACGTCTTTGTGCCTTGTAATTTTATAGTCTATCTATTATCAACAATTATTTTCCTATTATTTTACGACTATAAAATACATACATTATAATTTTAATTGATCTCACTGGCTAAATTGTACGTAATCATATAAATAATCATCAGAAAAGTTTACATCAAAAGTCAGAAAAGATAAGGAAGAAGAAGAGAATTGAGTACCGACGTCACTAAATAATAGATAAGATAGAACAAACAGTTCATGCCATAATTAAAGAAACAACAATTCAGTACACTATAATACACTGCCATAAAATGTATTATCGATATTATTTTACTCAACATCAGCATGACCTATTACTCTAATTAGGTGTATATATCTCATATTGTACTATACATAAAATCTCAAATTTTCAGATATGTAATAAAACGATACATTTTTACCATAATTTTTATTCTTTTTCATAACATTATGTAAAATTCGAAAGAGATTAAATATCAAAATTTAGAACGATTTATTATTAACAAATTGTAAAATAACCACAAGTTATTATTCATGTCTAATAATTACTAACAAGTCATTAGGTATTTAAAACATATAACACGAGTGGAAGGAGCGGCCCTGTTGGTATGGCAATAATCTAATTTCATACAATACTTTGCGACCAAAATATTAAGAGGATCACGTGGAAATTATGATATTCGTATCGCTGAGAATCGGACACAACTTCTTACGAAGCAATTTTTTTCGAAAAATAATCGAAATAAAATTTCCATTCTTTTCAGAGCACGAGAATGTGGTCAGGTGAAAACCCCTATACTTTGACATGTTATAAATGCTTAGGGGGACAAATTGCAAAATTGAAGACACAGAGGCATGCTTCGTTTTCTCGTGATTTATTTGTAAATGATTATCTTACAAACAAGAGGCGCAAAAATATACAAGCTTCTTATGTTCGCAAGAAAGTAACAGCACCATTTCACGCCTTGCCATGAACGCGTCGTGTGCTCGACCAAGGCGTCATGTTCGTGCAAGTCTCATGTCACGGTACACTCGTTCTCGCGAAAGTGCACCAATGTAACTTGCAGCAGTGTGCATCGGGATAATGAGAAAAAGAAAGGGAGATACGCTCGTAAAAAATTTTTTGGTGCCTCGCGTCCGCCAGACGCGTTTATACGTTCCTGCGTATCACGAACGTATCAAGTACAATATAACAGTGAACGATATAATATACAAGTGATCCCTCCTGACTCTCTTCATCTCCGCTTTTTAGCCTATGAATACACTATTACACCGGTCCTTGTATCGTATTGATTTCGATATATCGTCAAATACGCATTATATTTTTTTAGAACCATCTGTCAGAGGCGCTTATCCATCATCGCATTATTGTACATTTTCATATGAACATATCGTTAATATCTCATAAATGTACTTAAAATAATATTTCGTGCAATTCGTATCGCACTTTGACATATGTGACATATTGTTTTATCTCCAATCAAAAAGAACTTCTTTTGTAGGAGTAATCGAATTATCAATCATTCTAATTTCAAATTAAATACATATATGTTATAATTTTCCATACAAATTAAAAATTACATAACATAAATGTCTAAACTTAATTATATCTTAACAAAATCATTTTAATTTCATATTTTGCTCGATGTGCGCTACATCTATATGTAATCTTATAACGGCCCACAGATCTCGGACGAGATAGCTCCTCCATGAGAAAGGGAAAGCCTCCTCTCGCGTGTGGGAAAATTTTTTCACCGACCTCCAAGTGTCGTCCCGTGGCGCACGGGTGGCTATTGCGCAAGATAGAAAAATGCCAATTACACCGGCGAAACCGCGTACTCAAGTCGCTTACTCGCTAATGAAGAAAAAGGGAGCACACAATTGCGATTGATCCGCCCATTTCTGAGCGACTCTCGGAAGTAAAGAGAACGAGAAGATGCGAATGAGAGAGTAGCCCTCCGTTAGTATTTTTCCAGTGTCGTGTCCATCGTACATCTCGAGAGCAATTATCGAGAGTGACTCTCTCGATGGTATATTTCTCTCGGAGACATCGATGATACGAGGGTGGACGTTTCGCTCTCAGAAGACGAACACATGGAACGGAAACGAAAACAGATCGGTGTTGTCGTGGAATTGCCCCGACGTCATACCGCCGGGTTTGGTGCGCTCGCTTACGGGTAAAGTGTACCTAAGTATGGCATCTTCGCATACGATAATACCTAAGTAATGTGTATTACTTTCTTCTATATCATAGTTACCAAAAGAACGACATTTACACGGGAGATACTTCCGACAGCTGGAACGGGCGAGGGAAGAAACGTGTTAAAAACGATGCGAACGTACAAATTTTTCGCTCCATCTTTTTTTCTTTCTTTCTCTATTTCCTTGACGTCATCGTGAAAGCAACACCTTTCTTCCGTGATCGTTTAAATTCGCATGTACAGTAGAGACACGTAAGTGGTTCGCTCGCGAAAAATAAATTCTCCACGGTCGCTGTGTGTTCGCACTGGCGCAAGACTCTCGGACCCTGCATCGCCGATCCGATCTCGTTCCGGGGAAATGTGTGAATCGAGAGAGCAGAGTCCTCGATAATTCTATTAACTGCCGATCGCGCGGTAGCATTGATAAATATTGTTAAAGCTATCGCATAGTAGTTAATACTAGTAATGTTAATAATATTAGCGGTATATCTATGTTTATTGTTTACCGTTATTGGCATACGCTATATTTACAACTGAACAACGATTTTTACTCCCCTCGCAAATGACGCTCGAACAATCTTGCGAAGAAACGAATAGAAATGTACGTCGACCTCTGAAACGTGATTTTCAAAGCACTGTTCGTAGACGAATGGAGACGCACGAGGATATTCTTTCAATCGAATTCCAGCGAAATTCGATAAATAACGGTCTATCAATTCGTCCGCAACATCTTTGAAAATTCAGGCAGAAGTAGTATGAGGCATAGTTAGAAATAATGTACATTTACAATCCTTCATTGGGGAAGGAGGCTCTCACTCTCTGGCACAAGTCGTTAAACGCAATCGTTAAGCGCCTTTCTTTTCTTTTTTTTTACAAAATACATCGTCATATATATGTATATATATAAGTACATAGAACATGTATGTATATATATGTACACATATATACACATATACATATATTGCAATCGTTATCACACCTGACAAAGTCTACGTTTACGTAAGTTCTATATAGCGAACACATTGTGCTCCTTGCGAGCTGTGGAATATTAAGTCATTTTTCATCGTCGAATATCAACGCAGACCTTGCTCGGGATGTAAAGCTTGGTATCTTCCTGATGATTCAACTCGTCTCCTTTTACTAGCCTACGCATCAACAAAAAGGTTAACTAAATTTATACTATCGCATCGCCTTCTTTCTCCTCAGCACACTGAGATACTGAATTCCTACAACAGATTAGACGTGCCTGTGCCTTTTTCTTATCTTGCCCTCCGTCTTGCTTCTGAAAATTCTTATGCTAAAAGTTTGGTTTAAAACGGTAAAAACTCATAGTGAGATCTCTTTAAAAAATATTTTTGATACCTTCGTAATATTTATTCAAGCTAGCACTTTTCGTAGCTGAGAAAGGAAATATTTTAATACTCTACTTTCTCATTTTGAGAAACTTTGATATCATAATCTTATAATTTAGACTCTATAAATACTTTTAACATAAACTTTGACCACATAAAGTAAAAGTCGAACAATCTGGACAATTATTATATATAATATATATACATATTATATATATAACTATGTGCGAGATATCTATATATCTATATAATATATATATATATAACTATCTCGACCAATTGTACGACGCACATAATGAAGTGCAATAGACGTAGGATAGAAAAGAATGTATAAACAATGATTATAAAACCAGCAAATTACATAGTACATATTACATATATTATACACGAAAAGATATAGATTCAAATTTATTATATGTTCGGAGACATTTCAACAGGAGAATATAATGAATCAATTTTGACAGTTGATAAATAAATCTTAAAGTAGAGAAGATTTCCAATTCCAATTATCGCATTATTATTATCATTTTCTACCGTTTCTTATTTTTCTCGTGATCTTTTTATCTTTCACGTGATATGAAACAACCATTTTATTGATTGAAAAACGTTCCAAAGTTTAACGTAAGTTATATTATGTGAGATATCAAACAATTAAGATATAATAAACAACCACGATATAATAAAAATAATATTTTAAATGAGCAATTTGACAATTTCAATTTAATATCAAAACAAATCTTTTGCACTCGTGTCCTCTCCCTGTTCCATTCTGATATAAATTATCTATCAATTTTCGGACAACACAAAAATATTCTTACGTTTCATCTTGCGAATTTCGAAATTTTTTTCCGCACGTGACGTAAGAAAAAGACAATATCGATCGGTATTAACATGCTTATCAGTCGTTACAAATTTTAATACATATATCGATATACGTATTGACGTTTTGAAGACTCATCGTTTCGGATAATGTCGTACATCCGGCTAAAAAAATCCTTCGTAAATTGATTTACAGATCGACAAAATGACAGTCTCATATACAAATTCTCGCACATAGCGTCAAACCGATTATTATGTGTGGGCACTTGAATCAGCAGTTGTTAAGACACGTTCGTGTGCTCTCACTTCCGTGATTTTGTATGTACCACAGTAAATAAGAAGTACAATTACATATACATATATACACCTATATTGTACAAGATTTCACAATATCCAAATCGTCATGAAATCACGTACAAGGGGAAAATGAAAACTTTCGAACGTAAATGAAATATTATTCTGCCAATATATACGCAAAAACGAATGTATGCCATAAATATATTGTGTGCGCACTAAAGGTACAGCATTTTCAATTTCATGCGTTTAAACGAGCGCACTCTACACAGCTATTACGAGATTAAGTAATTTTGAACGTTACATAAATCGGGATCGGCAGTAGAAGCTATCGGAGACACATACGAACGTGCTTGTCTGGCAGTGTAAAACACTACCATTTTCCCTCAAATGATTACACATAACCGGGAGTTATGTAGGGGAGCTGAGCTATTAGTCATTAATCGGGTCGATTAATTAACAGGGAACGAGGGAGTAAAGCTACCGTACGCGTCGCGCGCCGTTACAGTGTAGTGCGCATACGTTTGTGCGTGGGTGATCCCATATCCACGTCGTGTGAAGCAGGCCGTTTATGATGTCGAGCCAATTCGTTGCTAATAAAGGCCGACAGTTCGGCTTGTCTTCCGCCACGCCGAGACACCGGAGAACCTGCAGAAATTTTATGTTTTTTACCATGGGCATTATCATTGAAAAAAAAAAACAAATCCACGTTCTTCTTCGCGTGATTCTATCAATGTTCGGTCAAATATGGTTGAACCTTACATCGAGACGTATATGTTAAGGCCTGTGTCCACGATGCTAGAACTTGGTCCAAGAATTTGGCCAATCAACTTGCAGCTATTCCATAAAAGCTGCAAGTTGATTGGCTACACATTTCTCGAAACTACAACTTGGACCAAGTTCTAGCATCGTGGACACAGACTTTTACGATACAAGTAGTTTAGCTAAATCCAAGTAGGGATGACGCTACTGCAAGCAATAATACATAATGTAGATTATAGTTATAAAAGAAAACACATAAAGTTGAAGAAAATTAAATCAGAGGATAGAATAACGTACCCGACAATGCTTCCCTAAATGTGTGTAACTCGGGATCTGGATCAGTGCCTGTTGTCGGCACTGGAGCGATAACCATACTCGCTGTTTGACTTTGCGACGACGGGGAACCACATACCATCATACGTGGCTTAGGTGAACTTCTGCAACATTGCCAACATGTTGTATCTTTAATGAGCGATCTCAACTTGTTTTAACTAAAATTTTGACTAAAATTTATTAATTTGTTTGTTCGTTTTTAATTTAATTTAACAAAACACACTGTCTACATTCATAAATGCATGTTAAAGAAATGTACAGCAATAATCTAAGTTTTCAAATTAATAATCTCTTCTCGGAATAAACTGAATGAAGGTAAAAACCTGTGAGGATGCGAGCGAGGTGGAGGTGGCTTTCCAGCGAGATATGCAAGAAGATCTTCCCTGCGAATCATACGCCTTTTTTTCCTAGCCCAATTCATTATTTCTTTACAACGTTTCTGCTTGCCCATTTCTACTCCCAAGTCGCTGCATCGCCTCATGCAATCCACTGAATCTATTTAAACAATTTCTGATTAATTTCGCGGACGAGCGCAAATGAGTCTTACGCAATGCAGACCTGCACCCATTACAAAATTAACATAACAAAATTCGTAGCACAAATCATTACTTCATCACAGTAAACTTTCCATCTATAGTAGATAATCTCTATTAAAAATTTCTCGTATGACGCATTATCGTTTCATTTTTGTGACATTGAGCAATTGATATAATCATATAAAAAAAAAGGACTGAATACATTTTGTTTACGCTTCACTTATTGTTTTATTCTATAATAACAAGATAAACAGGATCGATACAAACAAAATATTTAAAAAAATAGACTCTTCTAAACATGTTTAAAGAAAAACCAACAATAGCAAAGATAACGATTGCGAAAAGCGAAATATGATAGAGCCATTATGCTAACAAAGAAAGAATATGCCTTTGTATTGGCACAAATACCAAGTTGACTCTTGTGACTGTTATCTCTGCAGTTAGCGATAACGTGAATAACTTGATATTATTCAGAACGTTATCAAAATAATCATTAGTCATCAATATTCAGATATCAATACGTGTTCTGGTTCGAGAATTGGCCCAATTTCTCTTTTCGCTTCATCTTCCATTAAGATTTCATACAATGCACGTTCGATACGTTGTTAAAACGGTGCGAATGTATATTGAATAATAAATCCCTCTCGCCAGATATTAATTGATGAGCTCCGCGGCGTGTCATTATTTTTATCGTAAGCACATTTCAATGTACGAAAGCACAGTTCTGCAAATCACCGTACAATATTAATCGCGATAATTCTCTCTCTCTCCCTCAATTTTACAAGGATATATTAAGGCACGCCGCGCTATTGATTGAAAACCTAAATATAAAAAAAAAGAAAAGAGCTCCAACCGACACGTGGCACCGGAGCAAGTTCTGCCGGATCACATACACGCTTACGTGTCACGGGGCATCGAGATAATCGTCAGCTGCCCGGAATCAGACGTGACGCGTCGGGAAAGCATGACCGACAAATTGGGCTGCGTTCGGAAAGATTACCCCGAGTGCCCTAGCGTCATCATTTTATCTCTTGTCGCCCGCCGCGTTGCAGACAAGGATGAAACGATGCACCGGGCAACGTCACCCGAGTGACGTTCCCGAGCGCAGCTCCGGTCGAGTGACCTAACCTACAAAGTAAACGGTCGGAAAAAGGAGTCGCGACGATGATCCGTGCGCTCTTTACTCCGCCCGAGGGCGATAACGTCGCCCGCCGTGGATTTTCCGTTCTCCGGGAAACTCGGCCGCTCGATAGAGCCGAGTCGTCGGGGAAATTTCCACGAGCCAATTTTCTCCCACGGAATCCACTTCCAATAATCCCGCGGCGTTAATCTGTGCACCGCGAGACCGAGAATCCCGGGGCGGCGCGTCGTCATTTCACGAATCTCTCGGTGCCACGGTCGAGAATGATCGCGCTGTCGCCGCTACGCGCCCCAACGAACAGCTGACCCTGAGCACGGCCAGCCATCGGCGGCGGAGGGGGAGGGAGAGGGGCCATTTTCATCCGCGGACGAGGACGGGCGGTGCGCGTGGTACAATAGAGACAGACGGGAACCGTGCGGACAGTAGGAACAAAGATCGAGCCGTGGAGAAGAAGGTGACGCTTCCGAGCGCGCAGACGAGGGCGCGGGAGGGGGAGGCGGCGAGCGAAGAGGAGGGGGAGAGATGGCCGTGCCGTTTATCTAGCGGTCGCTGTTGACAATGGGGCACCGTAGAACACTCGAGAGAGAGACACTTGTACACGCACCTTTGTACAATGACGTGACGGTGCCAGCGGCAGTCTGAAAGGGCACCCACAGCGAGACACCCAGCGTGCGGTCTGCAAGAGAAGAGAGAAAAAAAAAAGAACAAGGAGGTTAAATGGATCCGATCGATATTGCCCCCCCCCCCCCGAGAGTTACGCGAGTGTGTCCCGCACACGCGCGCGCGCGAGAGAGAGAGACACGCTCTCGTAACTCTCGGCGCGACAAAATGGATGTTACGCGAGAGAGACGGGCGGAATTGTCGCGTCACGGGGGAGAGCGACCTTGGGGGGATCGCCGTAGCGGGCGGGGGAGAAAGGGAATCACGTCGCGGGGGATCACCTTTGTATAACTGGGCGATGGCCGACGCGGTCGTCTGGAATTTCGTCCACATCTGCTGCGAGTAGATCTCCTTCTCGTTGTGCAGCTGACTCTCGTAATCGGGCTCGGACTCGAGCGCCTCGACGCACTGCTGCTCCCAGTTGCTGTACCAGAGGTCCATGATCGGATCGTCCTCGCTCCTGTCGTCGCTCATCGCTGCCGCGATCCTCGCGCGATCGACGCACCGCCGCGCTGCCGCCCCCGGAGTGCAGCCTCGCGCACTCACTCACGCACTCGTGTACTACACGCGCGCAGGCACACACCGCACGCGCGACACGCGCACACACACACACACGCTCGCGCGCGCGCGCGAGCAAGCGAGCGCTCGTCGCGCGACGGTAACTCGGGCAGAATGCGTGCGGGGAACCCGAGTGAGGAAACGCGCCTCGCCCACCCACTCTTGCAACACGCACGCACACAACTCCCGCGGGACGACTGGCTTTCCCGAGCGAGCGAGCGAGCGAGCGAGCGGACGGACGGACGGACGGACGAGGCCTCGACGACGATGACTGCGACTCGTACCTCGCTGTTCGCGCTGCTCCGCACCGAACTCTCCGCACAGACCTCCTTCTCCTCCTCCTCTCTCGCACTCGCTCGCGCCCGTTCGCGTATCGCCTTCGCACGTAGGCCCCTCGCCTGCAAATCAAGTCGCGGCCATTACGATATACGCCTCTCGCGTCAGAGGCTCGCGAGCGAGCAGTAAGTACGTCATTTGATACCCGAGGTCCAGATAGACGAGCTCTCTGCGCGGTGGGAGTCGGGCGAGTGATCGGCGCTGCCACCAAACCGGAGCGAAGGGGATTAATCTGGGCCGCGTGAGAGGGCGACGGGGCGCTGCGCGCGCAACATCACTAGACCTGTGCAGGGGGGGGGAGGCGCGGCGACACACGAGAGACGATTGGCTGTTGCCATTGCGGACCTACCCGCAGTCAACTTGGCGCTAAATTTTGAAAAATTCTTCCTTCCGACTGATGAAGCGAATGCTTCGTAGCGCTGAGCGAATCGCAGTCTGATCATTAGGGCCTTTGGTTGTTTATTTCGTCAGAACTAGAAAAAGGAGATTAAGCCGGGAGTAAAGTCAATTGGTAGAAATAGACGCGTAGCTGGAGCATACGTGGGAAATACATGTTTAATATCTCGGAGAGAAACCTGAGAGCGGCCACGCTGGTAATATAATTAAAAATGGCGTTTATCACGCAATTGGGAAAAGAGGGAGGGGGGAGGGAACACTAAAAAATCACATATTCGACAGTTCTGTGTATGTACGGCCGACAACCCTTATCGGCGCGCAGTTCACAAAAGTCGAAAGTACAGGGTGTCTCATTAAATATTTTCACGGACGTTTTTCTTAAAGTTTCTCGAGTAAGAATCTGAATACTGTTTAGACAATTTTTGACATGAAATAGGTATGTCATTCTACTGAAATTAGTTCTGTTCGAGTTACTTGCAGTTTTGACGATTAAGACTAACGGTCGGATTTTTTTAAGTATATTAAAATTTAAGTATATTTAGGTATATTAAAGAATTTAGATATATACCTAAAAACAGGACTTTTTTAGATAAAAATAGGATTTAATTTCGCGAGATTACACGCGTGCTTCCTTGACGCTTTCCATTTGCTCTTTAAGTCCCAGTCTACAATAGATGATTTAAGCCCTAAGCTTTAAGAAATTGGCCAATCACGGTCAAGTATGAGTAGAATGCGCGACTGTCATTAGTCAATTTCTTAAGGCTTAGGGCTTAAATCATCTATTGTAGACTGGGACTTAAGTCCCAGTCTACAATAGAGATTTAAGCCCTAAGCTTTAAGAAATTGGCCAATCACGGTCAAGTGTGAGCAGAATGCGCGACTGTGATTAGTCAATTTCTTAAGGCTTAGGGCTTAAATCTCTATTGTAGACTGGGACTAAGCCCGCTGCAGACGATGCTATTTTTCCTGCTGGATTGCTTGCAATTTAGTAAATTACTAGGAATCCTGAATGCTGAGTGGTGCAACGATAGTAATTTACTAAATCGCAAGCAATCCAGCAGGAAAAATAGCATCGTCTG